ATATAGTTATGCACCATAACTTTATATAAGTGATATTGATTTGTATAGTTGTGCATTGCAACTCTAAATAAGTGATATTGATTTGTATAGTTGTGTACTGCAACTCTAAATAAGTGATAATTCTTTTAGTTATTTATTTCTTTTGATATTGAAAAGCACTAGAACGTATAACTACAAGTATAGAAATATCAATACCCTTTTCTTTAGTTAGCAACCTCTTTTTATTAATTATCTCTTTGAACATACTCTCCTAATCTCTCTTTTCATCTTTAATAGAATTGTTTAACAATTTCTATCAAAATTGGTACAGGCTTAGATACTTATTTTTGTACTAATCAATTTTATTAGTTTATTTCTCTCTCCCAAATCATATGACTCTTTTACTAATAGTAAAGAAATCCTTCATTTAAAGTAACTGTAGCAATATACTATATAATAATTTTGAAGTAATTAAATTATCAAAATCAATTATATTCAAAATTTGAATAAAAATATTGATTAAATCTTTATATTATAATAATATTTACTATAAGTCTAATTATAATAATATAATTAAAATAATTATTTAAATAAATTTAGCAATTTCTTATTATATTCTTTCTTTTATTATCTCACAAATTTAGTTTAATACTCAAACTAAAAATATTCAAACTAAATGATTCAAAATAATATAAATTTTAATATAATTAAAAATAATTATTTGAATAAATTCTTGATATATTCTTTTTTTATTATCTTACAAATTTAATTTAATATTCAAATTAAAAAAATATTCATAAGTATTATATCAATAATTATAAAATTAATTAATATATAATTTTATTAAATAATAAACAAAATGTAGTTTATTAACTAATTAGATTTTGTATTAATTAATTAATACCTTTTTTTCAAACTGAATGATTTGAATAATATATAACTAAAATAATTACTTGAATAAATTTAGCAAATTCTTATCATATTTTTTTATTATCTTATAAACTTAGTTTAATACTCAAACTAAATGGTTCAGAATGATATAAACTTTGATATAACTAAAACAATTACTTAAATAAATTCAAAAGATTTTTATTGCATTCTTTTTTTATTATTTTATAAATTTGATTTAATACTCAAATTGAATAAATCTCTTTACCAACACAAAATATTTGGAATAATATAAGCTTTGATAAAACTAAAATAATTACTTAAATAAATTCAACAAATTTTTTTCTTTTATTATCTTATAAACTTAGTTTATACTCAAACTAAATACTTTTTTACCAATACAAAATATTCAAAACAATATAAATTTTGAACAAATCCAGAAAATTTTTATTATATTCTTTCTTTATTAACATGCTAAGTTTTGTATGAATATTTTATAGTTAATAATTATTATTTTAATAAATTAAAACTGATAGATCAAAAGATTTATGATAATATATAATCCAAACTTTTCAGAATTCTCCTTGTAAAATTTATATTTAATATAACTAAAATTAGTATATATTAAGATAAGATATTTATCAGATAATTTTTTAAGAAAAAACAAAATCAAATATATATCAAAATCAGGTAATTAAAAATTAAAAAAATCAAGCGAATGAAAGGAAAATAAGCTTTCTATTAACCAAAAATTATTTGATTAATATTTTTATCTTTCTATATATAAATATATATGTATAATACTAATATATTTTGATACAATAATATAGGTACATGTCATTTTACAAAAATGTAGTCAAATAGTGATCAATCATTTTTTAAAAAAATTGTTTAAATTATTATATAAACATAGAGTGTTTCAAAAAAATCATAACAAATACTTTGCTAGGGTAGTGTATATTCTTATATTTGTGCACCAAACTTAGTTACATTCAATAAAAATCATCAACAATAAACAAATAGAATTGTATAACTTTGTAATTATAGAGTCAGATTTTGAAAATAATTATAGCTTTTAAGTATATAATTTTAAATTTTTCTTTTTTTATTAGAAGTTTTAAATTTCAGCATTCAAAATTATGCTTAGCATAAGTTGGCATTAAATATGTTGGTCAAAATCATGCATGGCTTAAACTGGCATCAAGAATGCCAGCCAAAGTTATTAATAAATTTTGAATTGATGTGTTAGACTTGGTGTACTACGTAATATTATTAGATAAAATCTGCAACCAAAATTTCAAACGCTTCGCGCTGCAGTTGATACGACTAGACTTGACACACCAATATTATTCTATTCTATTTCAAGAAGAAATAAAATAATTCTATTTACAAACTACGTATCTATAGTAATAATAATCTAGTATTGTTTAATCCCAGTTTGGTTGAAATTTGGTCATAATTTCTAAAAATAAATATTGAATATAAAAGTTATATAAAAATCATAACTAAGTGAAATCATTCGGAGAAATCATGTTCATACCATGCGATCTATTAGTCGGATACAACGAAAGAAATCCAAAAAATTCAGATTCGACGATCTCATCGATTGATTTTTCTTTATTCTTCTCGAACATTTCCCCGACCATGCCCTAGAAAATTTTATAACCATAAGTTCTGAATGGAGGCCACAAAATTACGTTCAATGCAACGTAAGGATTATTAAAACAAATAGACGAACCTGATTAATGCTTTTCGGCATTAGATGAATATCTCGTGGGTATAATTTTGTCTGACGGTCATGTACCCAATCAAAGCATTTAAAATTCGGTCCAACTGTATTAAGGAAACTTGTAAATAAAAAGTAATCTAGGCTCTGATCACGTAAAACTCGGTCAACTTTAATATATTGCAGGCCTGGTGAAAGTTTTGGACCAAGTTCTAGAAATGCACGGTCATCAAAAGGATCAAGGCGCGTGAAAATGAAGTCAACGAGCTTTTTGCACGAACATAAAATTGAAGCGACATCGTTATTATCTAGCTCCGCAATTTCTAAAAACTCAAGATTTGGACAAAATTGCGATAATTTTTGGGCAATTGTTGTTCTAGCAGTTCCTTGAAAGTTCATTGATTTGTCTAATTTCAAGTAACGTAAATTCTTTCCTGCTGTTGCGATGCAACTAGCGATAAAGTCAGTTCCTAAATTTGTATTTGATTCAGCGAAATGAAGAGACTGCAATCGAGAAAATGCGGTCGAAAGTTTCAATGAAAGTTGTGAATCTCCACTATGACAACCTTTTAATGTTAAGGCTTTCAAATTGACACATTCAACCAGTCCTTCGATTGCAGTATCACTAAATGTCCCAAAGTTGGCCCAGTGCAGTTCAAGACTAGCTAATGAATGTTTTTGAGAAACCAAAGCTCCCATAATGCTTGTAAAAGAAGAATGATGATGTGAAATTCTGAGATGTATTAAATTTATTTGCATTTGAATCAACTTGATCGATTCTACCGCTTCTCTTTCTGGCACATCCATTTCTAAACTATCGAGTGCAAGGTATTCGATGTCTCGAGATTCCATAGCTAATCTTTGAATAACGCTTGTCTTATCAAAATTACCGCGCAGAATAACTCGTCTAAGGTGTGTCAATGCATTATCATCATAGTTTACGGAAGGAAAGTCGAAATTCACTTTGAATAATGGTGGTTCTTGTACTCTTTTTATGCCGGTGGATCCAATTTCTACTTTTAGACTATGTAGATTTTTGCATCGGTTAAAATCAAGAAAGCATTTATATAATTCATGCACCATGAGAAGAGCTTTTTGTTGTTGCTCGTCACTATGCATATTCCATAGTTTCCATATTCGAAATGCATCAATACCATCGGAAACCGTAGGAGAGCACCATTTCAACGCCGATATTTCAAGATTTAACGTATCGATATATCTCGCAAAAGAAATATAATCAAAAAAAGCCTGAGGAATCGACAAATCAATACTAATGCCGTTATTCCGTAAATAGTGTAAAGATTCTTTCGGTAGACAAGATAAATATGTTTGAAAGAGTCGTGCACTCGGAATTCCATCTAATGGTGTCCGCCATAATATTGGAACAACACATCGACAGAATTCACGACAAACAAGTAAACAACTAAATAATGATTTCTCGTCTTGAATCTTGGTAAATATTTGAAAAAGCGTGTCTTGATTTAACCGAGTAAGCATTTTTATGTGTTGTTACTTAAATTTTAGAATTGAGTTTTTGACTTTGTTTTTACGATACAATACCTTTATTTATTGATTTTTGATGTATTGATATTAAAACATGTGTGTGCTAACGCTTAAGATTAAACTATATATATCCATTCCGAATATAAAAATGTCATATGTTGCCGATCACGAATATTCGTTTCATTATCTGATATGATTATATTCTTCACAGAGCTGAATAGAATAACAAAAGATCTGTCATAACGATAAGGCAACAAAAAGTATAAAAAAGTTGAAATTTTTCTGACTTCAACATGTTACTTTTTAGCAGAAGCAATCCTCATTTTGTTCAAAAAAGTTACAATTTATTTTCTAACGGAATATTTTCAATAAAAAAAGATGCTTCGACAAATATTCTCAGGAAGTAGAACAGTTATCAATCTGCGTTGACTTTCATGATTTTTAACATAACGATAATCGAATGTTACGTCAATCTTTTTTATGATAAAGTACGCTGAAAATCCCGAAGAAGGACTGCACGAAAAAGTAGTTTCCGCTCCAAAAATGTTTGTGCAAGGTCTTCTGACGTTTACGTAATGAACAATCAATTTTTGTGTCAAAATTTAAGTTTAACACATGTACAAAACCCTATATTCAAGATTAAAAATAAACCGTCGATTTCTTATGCTTACGTAACTTAAAAACTTTATACATGTATGTCTCTAAGTATATGCATATATACCTTACATTTAGCATCACGTTTTTAGAAATTTTATGAGCATATGTCAAGTGATGGCATGTGAGCGAATGATTACTACCAAGACTGATAGTCTGTTTAGTCATTTAAATTATTGTTTTTTTTCCATAGAAAGACAGAGGCGGCACATTTACATGTATGCATGGATAATGCTCGAAATGCCAACTCCGATCCGAAATATTTGATATTCAAGATAACGATCAATGAAAAAAAGCGATCTAAATTAGTACAATTAAAAGCTTATTGTTTGCAAGGATTCAATAATGCCAATTTAATCACAAGATCTTGTTCCAAAGATAACAATGTAAAATTAGTTATCATAACTTCAACAAGTTGAAAATGTTCATTCCCAACTTTGGTTATCGAATCACATGCACCAATCATTATCAACACAAATCTGTACATAATAATGACACGAATATAAATGTATTGTTGCGTTTTAATAAATGAATGTTAGTTTAGAAAAATAATACCGATTGTACTAAAAATTAATTTAATGAGTTAAAAGATAAAACAATGTGAAGAAATTCGCTTTTTCTCTATTAGTTCTTTCGATAATTTTCACAGGTAGAATATTATACTTTTACAAAATGATTCCTAAATTTAATAAAACCATTTGGTTAGGAAAAATGGAAGGTTCCGTAAAATACTATTATTATTCACATTCCGAATACGTAGTTACGACAATTTGTTGGATTCACGTGTAGGTAACAATGGACAGTACCCCAAAAAGGAGTTGGCTAAAGCCTGGTGGACATGTGACTCAGTTCCTCTAAATTTTCCGCGTGCAACCGATAAGGTTAGAGTAAGGGTAAGGGTT